CTCTGCAGTGAGATGGGCAGTGACAAATTTGAAAAATAAATAAATAAATAAATAAATAAATCTGCCAACCAGTGCAGGCATGATATGATCCGATATAAATTATATGTGTTATCATTTCATATTGTGATAAAATTAAGTAATGTCTTTTATATTTGTGCAGTGAGGACACTGCAGTCTTATGGATGCCTTTTAAAAATTATTCAGAAATGGATACATTTAAAAGTGCTTCTTAAAAAATAGATGTGAGACACAATAATTATAGAGCTGAAAGCTCACCTCAATTTCTTTCTGAAGCTTAGCATGCCTGCTTTTTTCATCTTGAATGGCATTCTCCTTTTTGCTGACAGCCTCTTCCAATACCTTTATTTCACTTTGCAAACATGAGATTTCATCCTACGCAGAGATGCATATAAGAGAATAGAGAGATACAGTAAAATAAATTGGATAATGTTTGGGGAGAGGACATGATATAAAAGCAGCAATATTCATATTGGTTAAAATGGAAATTATCTCAGAAAACTTAAAGCTCCCTGTTATATTTTTATTAGCACCAACTGGGAACTAAAGACTAAATTATTCTAAACTGAGGTTTGGGGAAATGGGTCTATTTAAACATGGAAGAGAAAAAGGGGGCAAGTAGGGAAAGACTGGACTCTTTTGAAAGTCCAAAACACAGCCCAAGCCTGTTTTCTATTGTACAGAATATACAATAACTTCTGATGATGTTGTCTAGTTGGGTAATGAAACATCTGCAAGCAAACAGAGAGCACCAAGGCCTCCATATAGAATAATGGTTTTAAGATGCAGGAAGGCAAAGTCTACTGAATGTTAGAGGAAAAAAGACTTGCTAACAGTAAGAATAATTCAACAGCAGAACCAGGTGCCAGAGAAGAGAGGGACACATACTGAAGCAGAGGCTGGACAACCATCCACGTACGGTAACTTTAATTTGGATTCCTGTCCTGAGCTGGTCTTACGTGAGCCCTGCCAACTCTTACAATTCTATGAAAGTTAAAACAGAGGAATAACAGAGAGGGAAAAACGGAACAATTTCAAATGTTTTGTTAATTAAGGTATTGCTTCAATTTGTCAATTTCAAAGCATTTCAGAAGTTTTTCCTTGCTCTCTCCCTCCACCAATGGGTCTCATTTTCTCCTTCCTTGTTGTTTTGGACTCTAGTTAAAGGGGTAAATGTGCTGCGACTTTTGCTAGTTCTACAACACTCATTATCTGAGGCTCCCCACCACTGGCCTTCACTGGGGAGCAGTCGTAAATATGATGCTAAAAGTTATTATTCACAATACGCTGGGATGCTCGACAGGATTTTAAAAATCCTTGCTTTGTAAGGAAGAAACATGGCAGTACAAAAAGATTCAACATCTTCATTGCTTCTGTATGGATGAATATCATTGCAGAAGCCCAAGGAAGAGTTACGTCTTTTCCAGAGATCTGGCCAAGTTTAAAAAAAAAAAATCATAATCATTGTCTACTTATTGTGCAAGGTCACTCTTATCCCCAGAGATCACCTCTTCACATTTGGCTTGGGTTTGTGTGTGTGTGTGTGTGTGTGTGTGTGTAAAAAACAATCCTGTGAGTAGGTTGGATTGAGAAAGGGTGCTTGGCCCAAAATCATAAGTGAAACGTAGCCTGCAAGGAAAGTTATCCAAATAAAGTGAATTTGAATGGCAGCCTGGGAGCATGAAGAAGGGGTCCCCGCCAACAAATTAAATATTTGAAAAAATCTCAAAAAAAAAACCCCCCCCCCCCCCT